GAGCGTCACTATAATGGTTGACGTTGAATGGATAATCGAGGCCTTTATTATAAACGTCAAAGATGCACCTATGTTGGTGGCAAGAGATATCTAAATCAAGGAAACAAGCATGATCACCATCGTAGGTCGTATTGAGAACCAAAGAGTTCCCATAAATATCTCGTGAAATCAAGGGAAAGTCGGGAAAATTGACAACCAGAATATCATCAATGTATCGGAAGAGCTTTAACCTAACATGTTTATGGTTTTTCATGAAACGATATTCCATGATTGACAGTGTTATGTCAGCAATGCCTGGACTCGCATTCCCACCCATCGGAACACCGCAGATTTGGTTGAAGACAGTATCGCCAAAACTAACGTAAGATTCACTCAGTATGGTTTGGAGTACTGACTTCTCTGGAGCTGTAGATGACGGTGCGGAGTGAGGTGTTACTAGTAAACCAACATTTCGAATCAGAGGCCGCCAACCAGTCCGTCCCAGCATTGGAGAAGCACAAGTCAACTAGATGGCAAAGACGCTGCTGAATAACACTGTGAGGCAGAGTTGTGAAAAGATTGCTGAAGTCGGCACTGTGTAGGTGTTCGATGGAGTCATTGAAGACAGCAAGCTGGTTGACCACATCTAAGGAGCTGCGGATACTGAAGTAGGCACTACGACCAGTACGGATATTTTCCATGCATGTGTGAGCTGAAGTTTTTAAATTCAGCACCCAAAGTATTCGTACTTCCCTCGTACGGGCACGCGAAAGATTTGGCGGAAAAACTGTTAACTCTGTAACTAGAAGAGCTGAAAGGCTAAAATTTTAAGGGGATGTTTCCCTTCCACTACAACTTAAAGATTTCAAATTCAGCCCCTAGATGTTTGTGGTTTTCACGTACAGGCACGTGGAAGTTTTGTCGGGGAAATTGCTAACTCGGAAATCAGAAAAGCTAGAAAGCTGTCAGGGCAATGTTCCCTGTCAAAATACAACATAAATACTTCAGACTCAGCCTTCAGGATGCATGGTTGTCACATATGGACAATTAAAAGTTTTGGCGGGAAAATAACTGTCTGGGAGACCAGAAAAGCTGAGAAGCTGAAGTATTATTATAATGTTTCCTGTACAAGTACAACTTAAAGACTTCGAATTCAGCCCCCTCACGTACGGGCACTTTAATTTTTGGCGGAAAACTGCTTACTGAGCAGCTATTTTCATTTCAAAGAACGACTGTTAAACGGAAATTGTTTATTTCCTTTATGCAAAATTTACTATGATTTACGCTAAGGAACTCACAAGATATGAAGCAACAATCATTCATGCAGTTAACGACCTGAGTATTTCTAGCCAGGCGCAAAAACGTATGATCGCACTGGTAAGCCTGGTGCATTGCAGCCTGGGTTTGTTTTCCGATTAAGGAAAAAGCTACAAAACAAATTAGGCAAAAAAAGAAATGAGTAAGTGCGAATACGCATCAAAGAACAGGCGAGATTGCGTCTCTTGCACGGATTTCTCAATATAAATCGAAATTGGTGGAGCAGGTTGTTGCAGCATCTTCAAGGGCTGTTTCAAAAAACTTTTTTCTGTAATCGTTCGTCACTTGTTCATCATCCCGTAACCAGTGCTTGTCGCATTCGTCACCGAGCCACACGTGTTGTCATACATGCATCTCTTTCATTTTATCAATTCTCAGTGATATTAAGGCCAATTTTAGTGTAAATCGGCGAAATTTCAGGATATTGCAAAAAAAGGGAATGCGCTGCCGAACGCGGTAAATCGATCGCTGCAGATAAAATGCAGTCGCATGCGGGCATTCATCGAGAAGCATCGTGACTCCTTGCATCTGCATATCAACCAACTGCGCTACTTCGCAGCTTCCGATGGTGGTACGTAACTTCACCTTGATGTTTTCGTGGTTCATCCTCGCATTGCTGGAAACCCTCCCGTGCTGCTTTGGTCAAAATTGCACCACCTGATGGCCACTCTATCAGCGGTTTGGGCGTTCTTTTCTCTGCGCTGCCGTTTCGGAAGAATTGGTGAATTTTTACACTTTGTTCAATGTTTTACGAAATTTTAACCACTTCGGGAACAAAAATTTCATTGACATGGGTGTTTGAAATAGTGGGAATGCGTATAGCGCAAAACTGCAATCAACGGAAAATTTGCCAAGTGTCCTGATGGAGATTTAGATTATAAATCGGCCGCTGTTCCAGATATTTCAGGTTATCCATCAGTGAGGGCTTGAAATTTTCTTGTGCAGGTTATATTTGTTTTGTTCGGGACTTATTAGTGTGCAATTTGAATACCAATGACACACTAATCCACGTTGTTTCAGGACTTGTACTGGATGAAATCCGTGCAGCGATC